TCTCTCTCTCTCTCTCTCTGTGTCAAATAAATAAGTAAATAAAATCTTTAAAAAAATAAAATAAAAAATAAAAGACAACTATGGTATTTTGTGCAAAACAGATCAAACTGGGGAGCAAGCCTGGAAGCAGAGTATAGCTAGGAGGCTTCTACAAAAGTAACAGATGTTGGTGGCCTGGATTCGGTTGGTATACCAAGGCTATAGAAATGGGGAGAAGTGAATGGATTTGAGATATATTTTAGAGGCAAAACCAAAAGGGCTTGCTGAAGAATTAGATGAGGAGGTGGAAGAAATGGAGGACACAAGAATGATTTATACATTTTTAGCTTGGGCAGCTGGAAGAATGACTGGTGGTATCAGTTACTGGACTAAGGAAACCTGGGTGGGGGGGTGGGGGGCTGAGAGGCAATGGAGTAGAGAGGGACCAAGAGTTCCTTTATGACCATGTTAACTTTTCTACTAGATATCCAAGTGAAGAAGTCACATAGGAAACTCTTGCTGATTTGATAATGAGTACAGTTCTCAAGTATGGACCTCAGGTAGGTCGGGGCTAGAGATAGACCTAACAAGCAGGGGTCACTGACATCCAGTTAGCACTTCAAGTTAAGAGACTGGATGAGATTACCCAGGAAATGAGTGTAGCTAGAGAAGAAAAAAGGTCCAAGGACTGAGCTCTGGGGCACACCAGTGTTCAGAGGTTGAAAGGGAAAGTGGAAAGGTAGAAAGTAGAAAAAAAGGGAAGGAGCAGCCAGTGAGCTAAGAGAGAAACCAGGTGAGTGTGTTATTCTGGAAGCCAGGAGAAAAATACTTCAAGAAGAAAGGAGTGGTCACCGGTCCAATGTTTTTAAAAGGCCAAGAAAGATGTGGAGAGTTAAGGACCAAATAATTCAGCAGTGTGGAGGTCACTGTTATCCCTGACAAAAGTAGTTGTACTGGACCAGTGAGACCTGTAGCCTCAGTGGAGTGGACTGAGGAAAGAATGAGGGATGAGGATGTAGGGACAGGGTCCATACAATCTTTTCAAGAAGTTGTGCTGTGAAGAGGGCACAGAAATAGAGTAATAGAAGTATCATGGGGTCAAGAAAATATTTTTTTAAGTAACAGATTTTTACAGCATGATTATATGCATATGGGTATAACCTGTTCAGATGTTCTGAATTAAGCCTACTTAAATAGTATAGGTACTATTTTACACCCTCAGGGCCACGTTTCCCTTAGCAACATTTACCATATGCTTCAAGTGCCTAAGATACAGAAATTTGCATTATTCTTGCCCAGTATACTTCTATTAATTCTCATTTCCTTGTTCCACTTTTATGTGGACCTTAACAACATTTTCAGCATTGGCTATAAACAAACTATGAATAGAGAGAAACTAAGTATCTGTGTATTAGAAGGTGCTTCAGGAGATCCTCTATTCATTAATCCCTCCCAAAGATGTTTGAAATAAAGGGAGAGACCCAGCTGTCCCACCCGCAACCAATTTTCAATATGGCTAATCAAAAAGCTATAAGGAGGGCGCCTGGGTGGCTCAGTTGGTTAAGCGACTGCCTTTGGCTCAGGTCATGATCCTGGAGTCCCGGGATCGAGTCC